CCTAGACAAATTTGGATACTACTCAGTGGAGATTCTCCCTTCCTCTGCACCCTCTGGATCTAGGCTCCCTCTTGAAAGCTTGAAAGCCAGTCACTTCTTGCCTTTGTAGCGCCCCCTCCCCCCATTTTGGGTAGCCAATGTCCAAGTTGCCCATCCTTGTCTACCCTGTATATTGAGGGGGTGGGGATGATCCTCACTGTAAAGATTTGTTCCCTCTTTTGAACTACTGCCTCCATAAGTGTAGTTATGCCTCCATAAATCTCATCAAATTGTATCAGATTATTACTCTTGTTTTTCCTCTTCTTTCTTCTTCTAGTTGAGCTGACCATAGACTCTTTTGATCCTATTTAAGGCTATCTCCTCAACCTCTAGCATACTGCCTTTCACATAGCAAATTGTCAATAAATGATAAGATATTGATGTTAAAGAATGAGTCAGCCAGTCAGTTGATGGACTCTGGCCTTCTGAGCATGCTTATATTGAGTTTCTGTGTTCTAAATGCTGATGTTGGGGGTGTTGAGTTGTGAAGAGTCTGGGCTCTTTAAACAAGTTCTATATCAAGCATGAGTTCTAAGAGACAGTCACATCTTAGAGGCATTGTGTTTCTGGAGTAAGTATAAGTTGCTCCCTACCTTATTTCTTTTATGCATAGCCTGGTTTCTTTTCCATCTAGTGGAGTTGTGTTCACTGGAAAAGGAAGAAAGAAGGAAAGGCACCTCTTTGAGATGAGATTAGACCAGAAGTAAGAAGACCTAGTCTGGCATCTTTCTCAGGCTCAGGGTACTTTGGACTTGTTACTTGGCCAAATGAAGAAGGAACACCCCCTTTCTTTTTTCCTTTCTTTGATAACCATTATTCTACTTTCTGGGAACATGATAACTTGGTGGGCTGCAGACAACAAGCTTAGTGGTTGCTTATGGGAAAAAGATAAGGCTTTCTACTCCTGCAATGAGTTGTTGTTCAACCCTGTATAGGGTATCCAAGGAGCAGCTGGTGAGCTTGAACTGCCAACCTTGTGGTCCAAATCTACCTCGAGATCCAGTGCTTTATCCCATAGCACCACACCAGTACAGCCTTGGAAACCCTATACAGGATCGCTATGAGGTGGAACTGACTCAATGGCACTTAACAATAACAATCTACTTACTGTTCTTATACATTTGCCTATTCTAGCTATTTCATATAAGTGGGATACAATAGTCATCCCTTTGGGAATGACTGATTTTATTTAGTATAATGCTTTTCAGGTTCATCTGTGTTGCAGCATGTATCCATCTCCAGCCCATCACCAAGTCCTGCTGACATTACCTGTTTGTCCTTTCCAGATTCTGCCCACACTTTTCCTTCTCTGTCTTCACCACCGTGTATCTGTCCCCGGTGATCCTGACTGATCTCCCCTTACTTTTCCTTCCAACTCTAACTCTTCTCCATACCACATTCATTTATGTACTTTCATTGGATTTATGTCTGAGTAATCCTCCTGGTGTGGTGCTGTGGGTTAATGCGGCAGACTGCAAAGCCATTTGAGCTGCAAAGTCGGTGGTTCAAACTCACCAGATGCTCTTCAGAAACCCAATACAGGGTCGCTATGGGTCAGAACCACCAACAATACCACCACCACCACCAATCCTCCATTGTATGAGTATATACTACATTTTGTCCACTCATCTGCTGATGGTCATTTTGGTTGTTTCTACATGTTGGTCATTTATCTAGGAATGAGTGGAATCACTAGGTCATATGATAATTCTGTGGTCAATTTCTTGACGAACTTCCACACTGTTTTCCACAGTAACTGCACCAGTAATGTAGGAAAAATCCTCCTACCCCTTCTTTTATTCACAGTTAGCATATCTAATATGCCCAAGCACAAGAATAATGTAATTGAGAACCTGCTTTTCATAGTCAAGAGCAACTGGGCACAGCACATGCTGGCAGTTGTATTAGTGAATAAAATTGTGTTTGCTATCGTGTGTAACTCCTTTGTAATGATGGATGTAACCGCCAAGGCTCATTTGCAGACAGATAAGCAAACACGTGTCTGCATGTTTAAAGTGTTTTCCAGAGTGTATATAGCAGGGACCTACTCTCTATCATACCCTTGAGGGCTCTCTGTGCTTGTGGATGGTCTTTTATCTGGTTGTGTGTGTGTGTGTGTGTGTGTGTGTGTGTATGTGATAAGTATCTGTCCCAGAATCCTCTATGACTGAATGGAAAGACTAGGAGGAGATAACAAAGATTTTATGGGATTATTGCCCTGGACAACTTTTCCAAGAACTTTTGCTGATTCTGGGAAGACATGTATAAGTCCCTTCTCATTCTATTCTTATTGCCACGTCTCCACCTTGCTAAAATAGGAGGGATCTTTCCTGAGACAGTGGATGACACCTTATACAACAAGGAAGGAAATCAGGTTTGCTTCAGCCTCTCCATGTACCCTTGACTGCATGCTGCATTTGCCTGGATTCCCTTGGCACTGACTAGATGGACTCAGATATGCAGATGTCAAAAGCAGGCCAATAATTAATATGCATTTGGATCTGCGTGAGTAGGAGTGTGGAGAAGAAGAGCAAATGCTGACAGTTCATCTGAGAGGTTTTGTCCATGACCAGTAGTGATTCTAGAAGGATTTCATTTTCCAGCCTTAAATTGTTTTTCTCATTTTGTTTTCTCTGAATGATCCTGGTGTGGGGTCTTCCTCTGGATTCAGATTATGGGACCAGTCATCTATATTTTGTTGTTTGTTATTGAATACCATAGTGACCCTGGATAGGGTTTCCTAGGAGCAGCTGGTGAGCTTGAGCTGCCAACCTTACAGTTCAAACCGACTTTGCAGTCCCATGTATGAACCCACCACACCACACCAGGACTCCAGTGATATATGTATGTTGTTGTTATGTGCCGTGGAGTCAGTTCTGACTCATAGCAACCCTGTACAGGATTTCCGAGGCTGTAGATCTTTACAAGAGCAGAACGCCTCATCTTTCTCCCGCAGAATAGCTGGTAGTTTCGAACTGCTGATCTTGCGGTTCACAGCCCGATTGGTAACCACTATGCTACCAGAGCTCCTATATATATGTATAGTAACACTAATTTCTGGATAGGATCTGGGAGCATTATACAGAAAGCCCTGGACTCAGAGTCAGACAAATCTGGATATGAATTCTGGCTCCAAGTCTTCATTCATGTAACAAGTATTTATAGAGCCCCTCTGTTCAGCCACTGTTTCAGAGGTAGAGTAGTGAACAAAATAGTTCAAGTATCTATTCTCATGGAGCTTCTTTTCTAGAGATGAGAAACAAATGTGTAGAAGAAATAATGCCAGCTAGCATAGTGGATTATGAGTCAGGTTGGACTGCTAATCATAAGGTCAGCAGTTTGAATCCATCAGCTGCTCTGTGGGATAAAGAGGTATAGCCTCAGAACCCCTATACAGGGTCACTATGAGTCAAAAATCAACTCACTGGTGCTTAAAAGCAACAACAACAACAATGATAAGTGCTGGGAAAAATCTGTTAGCAACTGAGGAAACCTGTAACAACAATTGCTTACTTACTTAACATCTCAGACCTTCATCTGCCCAGTTATAAAATTGATTGTGCCCCTATCTCACAAAAGTGCTGGAATTAAAGTGAGATTAGAGTTGTGGAAATCAGACCTGGTGGTGACACAATAGTTAAGTGCTTAGCTACTAACCAGTCGTTTGGCAGTTTGTACCCACTGAGCAACGCCATAGGAGGAAGACCTAGCAATCTGCTTCCATAAAGCTTGCAGCCAAGAAAACTCAGTGAGGCAGGTCTTCTCCATCACATGGGGTTGATATGAGTGGGAACTGACTCAGCAGTAATAGGGTTGTGGAGGGAGTTGCTGGGTCATGAAAAGAAATTACTAATAATTGAAGCGTTGGGAGTTTGAGTCCATTCAGAGATGTCTGAAAAGAAAGACTGGCGGTGTACTCCCAAAAAGTCCGCCTTCACAAATATTATGAAGCACAGTTCTATTTTGACACGCATGGGGTTGCCATGTCTCAGGGTCAACTGGACAGCAATTGGCTGGTAGAGCTGTGGAAGTAGACACTTAGTGGGAGGCACATAGTAGGCACTCAGTAAATTTCTTTCCATACTATCTTCCTCTGCCGATTTGGTGAGGCTTCTCCTTGCAAATTGAAAATAGAAGCCCCCTTTGTTGTTGTTAAGTACTATGGAGTCGGTTCTGACTCATAGTGACCCTACACAGGGTTTTCAAGGCTGTAAATCTTTTACGGGAGCAGAAAGCCTCATCTTTCTCCCACGGAAGAGCTGGTAGTTTTGAACTGCCTACCTTGAGGTTAGCAGCCCAATTCGTAACCACTACGCTACCAGAAGCCCTCTACTAGTCCCCAATACAAGGGGGGACAACACAAGGGGAAAAGATGGGAGTTGTCTCTGCTCACAAAGCTTCCTGGTCACTTGTCAGAGGCCCCGCTATGCATTCTCTGCAAGGATACCTGGGAAAGCACCTGAGGCTTCCTAGCGTATGTAGGTGCTTAGGGACTTGAGTCACATGTTAGACTCTGTGCCTCTTTAGAGAGATAGTACTGCATGCATCACATTTCAGGCTCAGCCAGTAAAACACGGTGCATATCCCCACCAAGCTGCCTGATGTTGCAGCTGATTTTAACTCAATTCTCATCTGATTGTAGTCAAAGAAGGTGCCACGTGCTTCAGAAGAACCAAAACAGGGTTTCCCAAGAGTCTACTTCGATGAAATGAGGTTTAAAAAAGAAACAGGTTCAGCTTCAGGGCTTTTACCGTTGGAAACAGACACAGCTGCCATTGGGCCTGCTTGCACTAAGGGGGAATCCAGCCTGTGACGTTTTCCAGGAGTGGAAACGTCTGGCCAGGTGGTTTTTAGTCTGTCAGCTGGGGGAGCATGGCAAGAACGTCTGCTTGTTTTCATTCTTGGAATTGTCGTGTGCACTAACCTCTCTCTAACTGGGGTTCCTGCCTCCATGCTTACAGGCTGTACACACGGGGATGCGGGCGCTCATCTATAACAGCTCCACAGTGGGCTCACCGGCCGAGCATTCAGGCATGAGGACCTACTACTTCAGTGCCGACACCCTGGACGACATGAATGCTTGGGTCAGAGCCATGAACCAGGCTGCCCAGGTGCTATCTCGATCATCACTGAAGAGGTCAGTCCTGATGCGGGGGGGATCTCTGCCAGCGTTGTTCTTTTTCTAGGATGGCAACCCAGATAAGTCTTCTTTGGTGCCTGAAATTTCACCATTCCTTAACCTGTGTTAAGCCTTGCCGTCTCTTTGAAGTCCTTTTTGATAATGAATACTTCCTGGAGAGGAATGAATATGCCCATGATAAATGGAAGATCTCCTAAAAGTTATCTAGTCTGCTTTCCGTGAAGCATAGAGAAGCACTGAAGCCTGGAAAAGTGAAATGATTGTCCAGGATACTCACCAGCCTTGGAAACTGGTGTGGGTGTGTGTTTCTCAGTTTTTCTTCTTTTATGGGTGTTTGTTGTTGTTGTTGTTAAGTGCCGTCGAGTCCCTCCCAACCCATAGTGACCCTGTAAGGTTTCCAAGAAGCAGCTGGTGAGCTTGAACTGCCGACCTAGAGATTCAAACTGACCTTGAAGTCCAGCGCATTAACCTGCAGCGTTACACCAGGACTTTGTATGGGTAATAGAAGGGCCAAACGTGAGGTACCAGAACGGGGAGAAGGGAGAAGACAGGCAAGGAAAGATCTTGCAAATTAAAACTGTACCACAGACTGCCCATCATGTGGCTGAGGGCTGACCTGGGAATATCTTCCAGCTGTCTCTATCCTTGAGTGGTCCAACCCAAGGATACAGTTGTTGTTGTTGTTAAGTACTGTGGAGTCGGCTCCGACTCATAGTGACCCTGCACAGGGTTTCCAAGGCTGTAAATCTTTACAGGAGCAAAACGCCTAATTTTTCTCCCACAGAACCGTTGGTAGTTTCGAACTGCTGAACTTGAGGTTGGCAGCCCGATTTGTAACCACTATGCTACCAGAGCTCCTTAGGGGTATTGAAATTCCTGAGTCGATTTGCTGTAGGCAATTCCCTATGAGAAAGCAGAAGAGAACTGAGTGGAGTCAAGAACTTAAAACAGGATAGCACTGTATGAAGTCTGGATGATTCTGTCTCACTACATAGGTTGTTGTTAAGTACCATGGAGTCGGTTCTGACTCATAGTGACCCTGCACAGGGTTTCCAAGGTTGTAAATCTTTACGGGAGCAGAAAGCCTCATTTTTCTTCCAGCTGGTAGTTTTGAACTGCGAACCTTGGGGTTAGCAGCCTGATTCATAACCATTACGCTATTCACTACATATAGATCAACTTTATTTTTTTACTGCTATATATGTCCAAAGTATGAGAGACGGAGCTTAGCCATCCTGGCCTCCAAAGAGCACTCTGGCTGCACTTCTTCCAAAACAAATCTATTGGTTCTTTTGGCAGTCCATGACACTTTCAGTATTCTCCTCCAACACCACAACTCAAAGGCATCAATTCTTCTATGATCTTCCTTATTCACTCTCCAGCTTTTGCATCTATACAAGGTTATTGAAAATACCATGGCTTGGGTCAGGCGCAACTTAGTCCTCAAGCTTACATCTCCGGACATGTTGTCATGCTGGGTAAGGTGGAGGGTCAGAGAAAAAGAGGAAGACCCCCAACGAGATGGATCAGGCAGGTGGCATCATTGATGGCGTCAGGTGTGGCAGCGGTAGTGAGGTTGGCCCAGGATCGGACATTGTTTCGTTCTGCTGTGCATGGGGTCGGTATGAGTCGGTTCCGACTCGATGGCACCTGACAACAACAACAACAATATAGTATTACATAGTATAGCTGTAGTATAATGTATTTAATCATGCCAAACCTTGAACAGTTTGTTTTTTTTCTCCCTAAGTTTTTACTGTTATGAACAGTGTGTAATAAACTTTTTTTCCTACACGTCTCTGCACGTGGAAGTCTTTCATACTCCTGGGTCAAATCCAGAGCATTTGAAATTTTTCATTCAGTGCCACCAGTCGTCCCTTAATGAAAGTCAAAAGATGTATTCATTTCCCACTTCTTTGCCAATAGTTAATGCTGTTGTTAAGTGCTAGTTGGTTCCAACACATAGCGCCCCTGTATGGGGTTTCCGAGGCTTTGAATCATGGGAGCAGAAAGCCTCATCTTTCTCCTATGCAGAGGCTGGCGGGCTAGAACCGTGGACCTTGTGTTTTGTAGTCCAATACTTATCATATGGAACCACTAAACCTTAGTTTTTGACAGCCTGCTGTGTGAATAAGCACTATCTGGTTGTTTTAATATATGCTGTTGTGTGTGCCACCAAGTCTGTTCCAACTCATAGTAACCTGTATAGGGAGGGTTTCCAAGAGCAGCTGGAACTGCCGAGTTTGTGGTTAGCAGTCCAGTGCCTATCTTACTACAGTGCCACACCAGTGCCCTTAGTAAATACTAGGAGGTTTCAGAAACTTCGTTAAAAAATGGAATAAAAATTCCCCATGAATTGTCTGATGCCCCCTTGTGTATTTCCATGGTGGTGGTAACCTTTTACATTTGTTAGCTACTTGTCTTTCTTCTTTAGTGAATTGCTACCTATTCTTTCTTTTTTACTGAGTTATTAGCATTTCTCAGAGCTTCCTTTGTGCTCTGAAGTCGTCTGCCTGGTTAAGAAGGCATCTTATTCAGCCTCTTGCAGAGGTTGATGGTAAGCTCTCCAGTCTGGTGTTTAATAGAATCTGTTTTTCCCTCTCTTGAAAGTCAAGATGCCATTTGCCAGTCTCTGGTATTCTGACACTTTTCCCTATTCTCTTCAATTCCCAAGTCCAAGTTCTCTTAAGGCCCCAGGGCACTGATAGCTGGGCCTGGAGCTCAGTGCCAGGAGGCTGGGATTCCCGCCCCCCTTCTTCCTCCCCATCTTAGACTTTCAGTCTTTCTTACCCAAGTTTGTTTTCCTGGTGAAAATATGGAAATAAATCCCCCAATCCTAGAATTCCACTCTCTCTGTTTATGTTATCACTTTCCCCATTCCCGTCCTTGACTTAGAAACTTGTTAGCATTTTTAGCTCAGCAAATCATGGCTCATTATAGACTTGACCTCTCGCTGCCATCCTTCAGATGGGCCCATTCCCCTACTTTGTGCTTGATTTGGCACCCCACCTTCCATTTCTTCTACATGTCCTTTTATGGCGTGTGTTGTTACACTGGCTTCTTTAGATAGGAATGGCAAATAGATTTCTTCTTGTGTGCCTGCTTTGCTCAATTAATAGTGACTGACTAGGGTACTGATTAGAGGAGAATCTGGGATTGAGTTTTATGATTAAAATCAGTGGCACCTGACTTGAAACCCTGAGGGTTAATTTGCAAGACAAGATGTGGAAGTTTTCTACTTTTGTCAACCTGAAAAATTTGTGATCAACTACTAGGTTGCGGTTTTTGAATGACTTCTTCCACTCCTCATTGGGCTCAAGCCATTGTATTATCCCTAGCTCTTCTCTGAACTTTTTGAAAATGTATTCATCTCATGTTCTTAATATCATGATCTTGAATGTTCATGATCATGTTTGCCCAAGTTTCCTTCCTGTCTTTTTATTCTAGCCAACTACTTCTTCCCTGAGTCAGAATAAAGACACAATAGTACTTCCCTTTAGCATTCTGAGAGATGAAATTGTCAGCACAGCAAACCCAGACTTATTAAAATTTCTATTTTATGAGAATAAGATGTTCAGACATCTGGTTCGTTAGAATTATTCATCAGGTAGGAATCAATCTCTCCTCTCCTCCAGTTTGGTGATCTGCATTGGAAAACCTCCTGTTCTATAAGTGCATGACCCCAATAGTATTTTTTTTTCTCTTCTTCTTTGAGCCTCACTCACCTGCTTATGTCTTATCCTTACAAGCAGATGTCTTATTTATGAATGGGGTGGTATGTTAGTTAGGATTCTTGATTACAAGTGACAGAAAACTTAGCCAAAGTTACTTAAGCAAAAAAGGGAATTGGTTGGTTCCAGCTACTGAAAAGGTCGGGATAGATCTGACTTTAGAAACAGCTGTATTCAAGATTAGATTCAGTCAGCATCATTTGTCTCAGATTACAAACTCTGCCTACCTCTGGTTCGTATTCTTTTTGAGTTCCATGTGGTGGTCCCTCTAGGATCTGGTGGCAAGAAGATAGCTGCAATAGCTACAGGGTCATGTCATCTTGGTTAAAGTCCAGCAGGAAGGAGCTAGAGTTGTTCCCCAGAGCTCTAAGATTCATTCTGATTAGGCAGGCTTAGATCACATTTATACCTTAAACCATTGATTATGGCCAGAGACTGCAGCTTGCTGATTGGCATAGGCCAGGGGATGCTTCGCTCTGAGAAACAGGGGGTAGATTTCTACCCAATCTTCGGGGACTGGGAGCTAGGTAGGAATGGGCAGGTGAAGGGAAGAGGATTTAGGGCTTTAGGACTATGGGCAGAGGAAGAAGCAATTACACCTTCTTGTTAAGTGCCATCATGTCAGTTCCGACTCATAGCGACCCTGTATAGGGTTTTCAAGAAGTGGCTGGTGAGCTTGAACCACCGACCTTGCAGTCTAGCGCATTACCCGACAGCACCACACCAGGACTGCTTAGGATGGGGTAATGGGATGCAAACAGCCAATGTTCAAGCCAGATTATTTATCCTTAATTTTTTATTACCTTTGTTTCTTCTGCCTTAAGCATCTCCTCCCAGAGCTTATTAGTCTGTGCTGATAAGTTCAAATCCCAGCTCTCCTCCCTTCTAGATGTACGATCTTGTAAAGACTGTGCTTACTTTTTATACCTGTTTCTCTTTGTTCATAATATTGTTACGGAGATTAAATGATTTATGGCCAGATTGGTCTCAGGACATGCAGAATGCCCTGTGTTTGGAAATAGTCAGATTCCAGGCTCAAACACTAGTGGTGGCTTACACAGAAACTGTAGCCCTTCTGGAAGCTTCCTGTCCTTTTGTAAACACCTGTGCCCTGCGTGACCAAGTTCTCTGAGTGACACAGTCATTGGTAGCTGGGGACTGCTTCATTCTTCTCTACCATTGTGCTAAATTGAGCGTTGCAGATCTGTTTGGTGACACGTCTCTTGATTTGAGATGTCATGTGTTAAGCTGTAGGGAATGCAAGGAGGCAGGGAGAAACCAAAAAACCTTTTTGCCTTAAGCCCCATAACTTAGTAAGTTAAATGTTTAAGTCAGGTAGGGTAGGGAGTAGGGAACATTATCTTCATCTTTCGTTTTTAGCCTGCAGTGACAGTCTGCATATTTTGGGCACAAGGCATCTTATATAAATTCCAGGAGTCGTGGGAATAAGCTGGTGGTGGTGTGCCGTTGAGTCAGTCCCAAGTCATAGCAACCCTGTATGATGTTTCCAAGTCTGCAAATCTTTATGGGAGCAGAAAGCCTCATCTTTCTCCCATGGAATCACTGGTGGATTTGAACTATTGACCTTGCACTTAGCAGCCCAACGCACAACCCACTATGCCACCAGAGTGCCTTATGGGAATAAGGAGCTATTCATAGTCCCATTTTTTGTGTGTGGAAAATGGCAGGTGACAAGCAGACTACCATTCTTTTAGCCACTGTCTCAAGCTTTGCTTTTCAATAAATACTGGTGTTGACTTGAAGATTTGTCATTTATTATTGAATTTATTTTCAGGAAGTCCTGGTATATGTGACAATGTGTATATGTATATGATTACCACTCATCTGTCAGTGTGCCATTCCGTAGTGGCTGGTGTGTTGTGCAGATGCTGGAAGCTATACTACCATTATTTCAAATACCAGCAAGATCACCATAGTGGACAGATTTCAGCAGAACTTCCAGACTAAACAAACTAGGAATAAAGGCCTGGTGATCTACATTGAAACATTAGCCAGTGGAGACCTGGATGGATTCCAACAGAATTTTGTCTGATGTATTCCTGGAAATGAGTCCCCTTGGTTGGAATGCACTACAACACACACAGTGGCTGCCACAGTATTTTCCAACACCACAGCCATCATGAGGGTGGTGCAAGGCTGGATGGTATTTCCTTCTGTTGGACGTCAGGTTACTGTGAGTCGCAGCCGACTCGACAGCATCTAATAGTATATTCATATGAACACACACCGTAAGGAATAAGATTTACAGTTGTAAAATTAGCTCCAACGTTAGAAAAAATGAGCAAACTCTTACCATTTGTGTGTGGGATTTTTGTGTGTGTGAGAACAATATTAAATATGATTGCCAGGATTAAGTAAGGCTCTAGACGATAAGCACTGTACTCTGAGCCACAAGGTTAGTAGTTCAAGCCCACCAGATGCTCTTTGGGATAAAGAAGAAGTTTTCTGCTCCTGCAGACATGTTCAGCTTTGGAAATCCTATACAGGTCGCCATGAGTCAGAACCGACTGGCCATCACAGAACAACAACAGGGTCACCTGGTTTTGACGGCAGAGACTCTTTTCTCTGCCTCTACCTGTGTCAGAGGGGAATATTTGTTAAGTGTCATTGAGTCAGTTCCGATTCATAACGTACCTGTACAGGGGTTACAAGGTTTTAAATCTTCATGGGAGCAGAAAGCCTCATCTTTCTCCCATGGAGCAGCTGGCGGATTTGAACCATGCTCCCAGAAAACCCATAGGTGTTCAGTAAATAAGTGGTGGTAAAGAAAGAAAATACCTCATACAGTTGGTTGGCCTGAGACACTGCATCACAATCCTTAGGTCCTAGAGTTGAAGGAACCCTCTTTTCCCTTTACTTCTAATGCTACGCATGTTGGTAGCATATATACTTCACTAGCTGGCTTGTATGACAAGGTACTGTTTATCTTTGGGGTATGAATAGCAAGGTGGTACAGTTACTTTGGTTTTACAATTGGAGTTAACTGCTTGGAAACAGAGCAGAATGAGACCCAAACCAGCATGACAAGTGACTTGGCTGGGATTGGGACCCAGAGAACAGCAAGATCTCTCTACTCTTTTAGACAGCAGCCTAAGCAGAACCCCCTGGGTGGTTTCCTGAACTTGAGAAATAGTAAAGATGACAGCCAGCTTAGGAAGCTTGAAGATCACCAATTGGAGTTCAGTCCAGTACTTACGCTAAAATGCCACACCAGGACCCCAGTGATGTGGGTATAGAGGGTTAAAGGAAGAAAGAGAAAAGTTAAAACAAAGTATTTATATTATACAGCAGACCTGTCCCTTTATAAGCTTACATGAGGATTCTTTTTCTTAAAGTGTTGGCTCCTCAGTATTTCCCATGTGTTTCCTGCTACTGGGTCTTACAGACCCATTGAGACCTGCTGAGGGAAGGGCTATCAGAGATTGCCATTATAAAATTATAAAATGCCACTATAAAATGATGTAATGGTCAGAACTTCTTCTAGTATAAGTTACAGAAACCAAACTCAAAACTGACTTTTAGTCCTTTTCGTACTATCTCTGGTTTAGGCATGCTTAGGTCTAGGAGCTCAGACCAAATCTTTAGGATATATATATATATATACTGATATTGGCATTACACAGTCTCAGGGCTAATGCTGATTGGCCAGGATTGGGTCACGGGTGAATCCCTAAACCAATCACTGAGGCTTTGGAGCCTCAGCTTAATAGGAAGGAGGAGTAGAGACAGTTGCACCCAAACCACATAGACTAAGAAAGAGTTGGGGAAGGGTGACACCAAATGAAGCTTGAAGTGCTATTATCAAAAGAAGGGCCAGAGGGAAAAAAGTGTCCTCTAGTGAGCAGAAAAAAAGCCTAAAGAAGCAGGATTTTTCACAAAAATTTAGGTATTCATAGAAAAAAATATTAGCACATAGGCTGTTGAGGTTAAAGTGCCATTGAGTTGGTCCTAACTCATAGAGACCCTGTATGGTGTTTCCAAGGAGCTGCTGGTGGGTTTGAACCCGCCAGCTTTGGGGTCAGCAGTCCAGTGCTTATCCTACAGCGCTCCACCCGGGCCCCAGTACATAGGCAGGAGGTGTGTAATTGCTTTTTCCAGTTCTCCTTGCCTAGGTGACAGCCACCAGTTGGGCCTACACACAGTTAGCAGCAGACCCCAAGTCAGTGATTGTATTTTCACTTTATACTGACATTCTAACTAATCCCCATTCAAGGTTGACTATGGTCTGAGCCCAGGTTGATTATGGGTAGCTGAGATTCTGAGATGGTTGCTGGGACAAAAGACATCTCTCTACTGGTGTGTAAGGGAAGCAGTATTTGCATCTTATATTCTTAACTTGAAATGGAAATCCCTCTGGCTTGGTCATTTCCTGGAGTGATGGATTTCAGGGCCAGAGCTTTTAACCAAAGCCTGCAAGTAAAAAATACACTAGACTGACTGCCCCAATCCCAAGGTCTCTGGTAATTTTTCTACTCTGTCTGGGCTGCGCTGAAGTATGTTTCCCTGCCTCCCCAGTCTAAATTCTGCAAAGCTTATGCAGCCCTTGCTATGTCCCTGGTACCAGGGGATTGGGACGCAGCGGTGCCTTGCTGTGCGGAGTGGGCTGACTGTACTGCTGTTGTTGCAGGAATGTGGAGAAGGTGGAGCGACAGGCAGTCCCTCAGGCCAACCACACGCAGTCCTGTCGAGAGTGTGGCCACGTAGGACCTGGACACGCAAGGGATTGTCCTCATCATGGCCACAATGACTCTTTCGGCTTTGAAAGGCTGGAGCAGGAGGATGAACGATACTGTCCCCAGAGGGACCCACAGGAAGGCAAGCGGGACAGGAACAAGGCCAGGTCTCCATACTCACCAACTGAGGAGGATTTACCTGGTGCCTCAAGAAGCCAGCAGGCACAGCCCCAGCGTGCAGAGAAGAACGGCGTGCTGCCCGCCTCGTATGGTCTAGGAGAGCAGAATGGCACTAGCGGGTACCAGCGGGTCTTTCCTCCCAGGACCAACCCTGAAAAACACACCCAGAAGCAGAACCATCTGGCCCAGGTGGAACACTGGGTGAAGGTCCAGAAGGGAGATGGCAGAAGGTCAGTGGTGATAGACTCAGGATGGCATCTAATACTGAGCATCATTTACCCAGCACTTCCTGATTGTGTGGTGTGGCTGGAAACTCTTTACTCCATTATTTCCCTAAACCCCAGAACTCTGCAAGGAGGGAGGTGATATCCCCAGGTTATTGAGAAAGAAACTGGGTCTCCGGTAAAGTGAAGGAACCTGCCCAGGACATCTAGATAACTGTACGCAAAGTACAGACCCAGGTCAACCAACCTCCAAAGCCCACAGGAGATTGCATCAGGAAACTTGTTTTCACCCTGAGTGTGTGCCCCGAGACGTTCCACGTGTAGATAGTAACTGATCTCCTCATAGCCAATTATCTGCACTCTAAAACCATTTGTAGAAACCATGCTAAATATAGTTCCATGTCTAATTCTAGGCACACAGAAAAGTAAGTTCTTAGGCACTGTGGACATTAGGCTTTATCATGCCCATTCCTTCAGAAAGTTTTTAATTATTTAGAAGCGTGCATCTCTTGCTATTTGAAAAACTCTGTCTGTATTTTATTATAATTTCAGATTAATTAGGACATGTTTATGGCTGTGAAGAATTCACAGTCACCCTGCTTCCTGGTTGTCCTCAGAAGACCACAGTGCATTCAGAAAGCTCCCTAGGGGCTGGAGTAGCTGCAGTGGTGTGCCTGAGCAAAGCAGGTCTGCCACCGTCCTAATGGGCGTATTCTAGAATGCCACACTCTACTGCCCCCTGCTGGTGAGGCCCAGATTTTCCACCTGTGGGCTCAGATAGTGCTTCCAGAATAGTTTTAAAGTGTGTGGGTGTGGTGTGCATGTGTGCGTGGTGGTTCTAGCCCCTTTAACTTAAAACACCTGGACAGTTGTGAGGGTGGATCGTGGGAAAAGCACAGTGGAAATCCCCAAACAACTGATAGACATTGTTGCTGATAGACATTGTTGCTGGGGCCCACCAGGGAAAGAGAAGGCCTTTTGTGTTGTAGCTAAGGTACCTTCCTCTTCCCACGTGGAGCTAAGCAGGTGTCAGTTCTGTTAGTTTAAATGTTGTCTGTCTTATTAAAAATGGAAAGCTACTGAGGAGAACAAACAAGATGGCGGATCGGGTGGACGTATAGCAGAGAGCTCTGCCAACAACAACACAGAATACCCCACAAGCAGGCTCAGGGGACGGTCCAGAACTCTGAACCACATATAAAGGAATACTTAGAAGGTTGGAAGGCTAACAGCTGGGGGAATTTGTGGCAGAAGCAAGAAATCTATTGCTTTCTAGTCCGGGCCACTCGGCTGCTCCA